AAAAGTGGTCTTTGTTGCTATAAAAAGCACGTCAAGAACCATTTGTTGCATAGTATTGTATTTATAGTATAGTATAAGTTGTCTATGACCAGATATTTGAAATGAACTTTGAGTTCTAAAAAGATCAGAAAAGCCAGAAGAGATGGTAGAAGATATTTCCTAAAAAAAAAAAAATTAAAGTGTATGAATCAAAGTCTGAAAGGAATGTGCAGAACTATTAGACTTACAGAAATTGGACCTAGTACCATTATGTTCCTTTTGGCTTCATTTGTTTGTTGTTTAGTTTTTTGCTCCACTGAAGCCTGTTAGAATCACCATGGAATACAGTTCCAGTGGGAAAGCCACTGGAGAAGCTGATGTGCACTTCGATTCCCATGAGGATGCTGTTGCAGCTATGCTCAAGGATCGGTCCCACGTTCGTAAGTGCTGCCGTGGTTTTCACGGTCATTTCCATACATGTCTTGGCTTACAAATGCCTTTTTCTGTTTCGCAATTTTCCTAGAATATTTCCTTGTGAAAATTGTACTCTGTCACTACCATAAAGTAAATGTGAAAAAGGATGAGACATTATATTGTAATGAAAAGCATTTATCTGCTAATGATCCTGCATATTCTTATCCAAAGTTAGTTAGGATTTAATTTTGTTTTATATTTTAGTTTAAGAAAAGCCAATGGATAAAGGGTTTGAGTTTCTGTCTGAACTATGAGAAAAAAGGCTCATATTATGAGAAAAAGGCTCATAAATAATATTATTTCTGCCTTTTCAACTTTTTGAAATGTATCTTTTTTTGTCATTCTCAGAGCATAGGTATATTGAATTGTTCCTGAATTCATGTCCAAAGGGAAAATAAGACTCCAGATAATAAGGTAAACGTAAGAGGTCCAATTGTGGAAACTATTTTCAATTGATAAAATAATCATTAACTTACTAATTTGTAATATGGTGGAAACTGTTCTCTTTAACACATTAAGTGCCAAGCCTATTTTGTCTTCCTTTTCGTTTCAGTCACCAGTGACTGACATGGCACTTAACATGTTAATAAAGATGAAACTGATCATGATAATTGAATCATCACTATAAGGAGTGGAATTCTCCTGGGAAACAGAATTCATTATGATTGTACCAGGGCCCAGTGCATGATTTGTGCACAGGTGGGGTCCCTCAGCCTGGCCGGTGATAGGGGCCGATTGGGGTTGTGAGAGGTTGGCCTGCAGGGGTGGGGAAGGGACCGCGAGAGGTTGGCCAGAGGCCCCTATCAGGGTTATTGGGGCCAGCTGGCCCTGGGGGAGGGACTGTGGGTGGTTGACCGGCCAGGGGTAGGGACCACGGGAGGTTGGCTGTGGGAGCACACTGACCACCAGCAGGGGCAGTTCCTGCATCTGCCCCCTGGTTGTCAGTGTGTGTCATAGCGACTGGTTGTTCAGTCGCTTAGGCTTTTATATATATAGACTAGAGGCCTGGTGCACAGAATTGTGCACTGGTGGGGTCCTTCGGCCTGCCCTGCACCCTCTCGCAATCTGGGACCCCTTGGGGGATGTCGAGCCAGTTCTGGCCCGATCCCCGCAGGCCCGAACCAGACAGGAGGGTGCCTGATCCTGTGCGTTGAGCATTTGACCCCTGATGGTCAGTGTGCATCATAGCGACCGGTCGAATGATCAAATGATTGCTTAGGGTTTTATATATATAGATAGTGGCTTTGAGTATTTTTCCCATATACAGTCTTTTTGCATTTTTTCTCAACATTAATGATTCTGTGAGCTGAAAATAATTTTTCACCTTTAGTAGCTATAAATCATAATACACTGGCAATGTGCTTGCATTTGTTTTTCTTTCTATAAAAATTTTGAACACATTTCCTCAGTTCTAAGATATTTTTAAAATGATATATTTGAAACCAGAGTATACCAGTGATATGTACACTTACTGAACCACTGTTTCTTTTCCTAAAGTGGTGTTATGAAAATGGTTGTACTAGGAATTTTATGATTTCATAGGGTTAACTTACCCGTGACAAATCTAAATATGTCTTGATGTCTTTTCTCTTGACTAAATGTTATATGGTATTTTTTCCCCCCTATAAAGTGTGTATACACACACACACACACACACACACACACACACACACACAGTATAGTTTAATCCTCACCCAAGGATATGTTTTTATTGATTTGAGAGAGAGAGAAAGAAACATCAATATGAGAGAGAAACATTTTTTGGTTGCCTCCCTTAAGTTCCCTGACCCGGGATTGAACGAGAGAAAGAAACATCAATATGAGAGAGAAACATTTTTTGGTTGCCTCCCTTAAGTTCCCTGACCCGGGATTGAAACCGCAACCTAGGTATGTGCCTGACTGGGACTCAAACATGCCACCTTTTGGTGTATAAGATGATGCTCCAACCAACTAACCCACACTTCCTGGGCAAATCTTTTAATATATTTCGTTGTAATCATTTTTCTACACGTAGTGGTAGATATTTAGTGAGTTCTTGAAAACACCTGGGACATTTCTTTATAATAGTTGTCATGGGCTGTTTTTGGAGGTAAAATACCACAATCTCCTGATATTATATATTTACATTAGCTAAAATCTGTGTAAAATATATTCTGTGCTTCACTTTAAAAGCCTTCCTATCTTCATACCAGGCTATAAATACTGATGCCTAACTAATTTTCTTTACCTCAACTTAATTGATTTTTCAGATAAGTTGCATAAAATAGGAAAGAAAAAAAAATTACTGAATTTGTTATTTTAAATGATATGGAAACATGTTCAACACTTTTTCGTTTTTAGTAAATGTGCTGTACTTTTTGTTTTATTTTCAGGATGAAGCAAGAAGCATTTCATTTGCACATCTTTCTTGGATATGGGATATACAGTTCCAGTGTTTTAGCAGCAACTGTTAGAGAAAGGATATGGGGGTTTGGGGTTAATTGCTTAAGAAAAATTCCATAGTGGACTGTTTAGAAAGAAAAAGGAAAGATTCAGTTTGGAATTAAATAAATCACAAATTTAAATTTTGTTTAAAACTGTCTAGGATAGATCTGATTTACAAATCTGGTCTTTATTTTATGATTAAATAATTTGTTTTCATAGAGATTGTTATCCAATGTAAAGACTGCATATTTTTATTCAGCACTGTCATTTAAAATCTTCCTCCCATTTTAAAAATGATTTTTTTGAGAGCTCTGATATAAAACTTCCTATGGAATAAAATACTGATTTATTTTAACCAAATACTCACCAAAGCAAAGAAAGGTTTCAGACCTTTGAATCATTATGATTTGGTAGAGTAGTTATAATTTTAGGTGTATTGATGACTTAAGGGGTAGGAATGTAAAAAAAAAGAAAAGATTCAAAACAAAAAAATAAATACCACTGGTTAGTATAATGGACAGCTATTCGGCAGTGTCACATCTTTAGAATTGTTTGGCCTTTCTAAGCTTGTGCTACTGGCATTTAACATAGTGCCTGTGTGCTTTAGGAGAGAATTCTAGTCTCAACTTAAAAGTTGTCTGAACATATCCCAATCTCCTGACCCCCTTTTTTGGTTTTGGGCAAACATTAGGGGTGTTAGTCTCAAAACTGTGAAGTGACATCTCAAAACAGTCCCTACTGGTAAGGATCTTAATGGCTTCACTTGAATTTAAACCAGCTCTAGATAGGAAAAAACCTAAGTCCCTTCATTTGCTTTTTCAGTGGGTAGCACATCCCATATTTTAGAACAAGTAGGGGTGCCTTGCTTAAATAAAAATAGCATTTAATGTATAATTGTGTGAAGGGTTTATGGATAAAGCTGTACTTCTGTCACATTGTGGCAGTACATTCTGCTTTCATATTAAATAGCTTGTTATTTAAATATTGGATCAAAATGGCTGGCTTGAAAATGTAGTCATTAATAAACTAACTTTATGTGCACCTGTGTAGGAGAATCAAAGTCCTGTATACTTTCTTTGCCTTGTTCCTGTTCTCAGGGTCACTACTGCTATGTAGTTACCAAGAGATGCAATTCTAGATCTTAAAATCGAATTAGTCCAGAGTTTTGAGAGGTGATATTTGGAAGAGAGATTATGTCTTCTCTCACTCAGTACATAACCATCTTTGATTACCAGCTAAGATACAAAATCACTGTACTGTAAATAGTTAATAAATGAAAGCTTGGTTCAGGCAGATTACCTAAGAGTATTTATTTTGGAGTGTGTGGATAAACCAAATATATTTTTATTACATTAAGTCCTGGTATATTATTATAAGGAGACATGATTGACTTTCAGTTGTGTTTGTCATCCAGTAAGAACATGACTGACCCAGTTTAACAGCTTCAGCATTCCTACTTAAATGGAAATATGTTTTCATACATGTGTACTGAGCTGTGCAAACTGGTGTCTGTAGCTGTATGACCGGCTAGAATGTGATCTTTTCTCTCCCTTTAGCAGTAGGCATCCAATTTGCTGTGGAAAAAATCTGTAGGGTTTTTGGGGATTGGGGATGGTGAGGAACTAATTCATTTGCAATTACTGTATTTTGGAGCTAATGAATTTCATTTGCATATCCCTGGGAAAAGAAAGAGCGAAAGCCTTAAAGTGTTGTGTGTGGGTAAGCTGGAAAGCGTGTGTGTGTGTCTTCCTGCCACACGAGTGGCCGAGTTCTCTTTAAAAGATGGCCATTCTTGGGAAGTCTTATGAATTCATATACTTTTCCCAGCCTCCCTTTAGCAAGTTAGTGCTCATAATTTAGGCTACTAAATGAATACTTGCTGAGAAGGCAGGTGTAAAAAAGCATGTGTAAAATAGCGTGATAGAATAACAGTGATCTTTTATTTCTATCCAATCAAAAGACATATTTCTTCTTTCCCCAAATTTGATAAAACTGGGTTGTTTGTCATCAATTGCTATTGAAATAAGTAATGACAGAGGTTTTCTCTTCTATTTGTGTCTTTATATTCTCCTTTGTGGGAAAGCTATCAAAATGGCCAGATTGGCTGTGGCCGGGATACCCATATACTGCTTTAGTCAGCTACTTCTTAAGGAGCTGTAAGGGAGGACTCTGATAAGGAAGCTCATCAAAGTGTGATTTTTTGTGTAGATCCCAAGGAGGAAATTGCTAGACTGTGATCTGATCTGAGATACTGATGCCAGAGAAGGAAGCAGAACCCAGAGTATTTGTCCCTCTGTGTCTGGGTGAAGGTGGCTTTGGCCAGGTGGGAGGGAGACGGGGTGAGCTATGAAGTGGAAGTCTGAAGCCTGGACACATCTGCAGGGTGGGGAGGAAGCAGCAGGCGAAAGCACTTCCATCTACATGACATTTGGAGGCCAGGGCGCTGCGTATAGTCGGCATCCCTATCGGCATCCTCTGCCCGAAACCGTCCCTCAGCAGGTTCTCATTTGGGGATTTTTCTCTGGGTTACATCCTATTCATTTTACAGTTTAGAACATTCTTTTGTTTTCACAGTTTCCCCTAAATCATGTGGACGGGTTTATATTCAATTGGTAGGACTCATTGTAGAGCAGAATGGTATTTCAGCAGTAGAGGCAGGCCTAAGTTCCATTGCCTTTCCAAAAAAATAGCCCCAATGTGGTAGGAATGGACTTTTCCCTCCGGATTCTGCAGATTAGAAGGTACTCTTGGAAGTTTGTACGATGGG